GAACTTAAAGACACATCAATATCTTTGTTGTCAAATCTTCACTGAGCAGCACTTTGAGCATCATAAAATCTTGGGTTTGCTTTTCCTTAAGGCATTTATGGTGTGGTTGCATACACTGTTTGCTGCTGTTACAGCAGTCAGGTTCCATTGTCTCTCTGTTCTTATTTTGCTGTTCAGGATAGGGAGACTCTAGGACTGATCTGCCTTCTCAGTCATGTCAGACAACATGGCACAAAACCATTCCCAGAGGAAAAATGAGATAAATTGGCTCAAAGGACCAGAAACAAGGGCACAGCAGTGAGGCTGGGAGAGCAGACATTTGTTGTACTGGTACAACCACAGCACAAATTTCAGACAAAATATGGGTATTTGATTCTGTTTTCACTGGTCCCTCATTTTCCTTAATGAGTGAACAAAAATGAAATTTTTCTTTTATTTCTGAGTTTTCACATATGCTAATCTAAAGTGAATTACATTTCTAAAAGAATTAACTATTTTAAGCCTGACAGCAGCGAAGACCAACAGCACTAATTTGAGCTTATAGGATGTGTGCATTGAATAGCGTGAAACAACTGATCCCAGACAACTACAGGATGTTCCTAAAGAAAAGTACACCTTCCACCACACTACATATATCAGCTGCACAAGACAAAAGCAACGTATCAGCCAAGCTTTTCCAGTGACTGGCAATACCTGCATATCCTTAAAACCCAATTCATGAAGTGTTTTTTCATCATAATCAGTTGTCAGTTCATGCCCAGATGAAATCATTCTCACAGGTCCCATGAGGCCACCTAGGAAAAAAATATATTTCAGTAAATTTCTGGAATCGTATTTTCATTTTCTAATTAAAGTGCTACAACTTATTTTTAATAGTATTCTCTTTGGTAGCAATTTAAATGAGGCAAAAACTTAAAGCAATTTCCTTACGAAAACTGGTTATTACATTGAAATAAATTTACCTGCATGTTAGTCAGAAATAACTTTTTCAATAACAGTTCACCCAATCTTGTAGTGAAAAGTGTTCACAACAGAGATTGAAATGTGCTTTCCATATTTGGTAGTAAATTACGCTATACCAGAGAAGGATAATGGAAAATGACTGTGATCATCAACAAAATCCCTTTGTAACACACACCTGTGATAAAGTCAGCAAAAGCAAAGAAGTAATGATTAATTTTACTGAACTACAATTTGGAACTGAAGATGCATATATTTCAGAAAGGAAAAACCTGAGAACATCCTTCAAAGAACTCTCAACACTGAACTAGAAATCTGAACAATTAAAAGATTAAGAATTTCATTTGGCATAGATAATCAAGCAGTAATCAAGAAATACAATGCACAGTGACTTTACACCTCTGAGTACTCATGCAGTTCTAAGCACCAATTCTGGTGCACAGATTTTTGTCATGGATTGAAGTTGCTATGCTTTCCAGTGCTTTTCTCAACATTAGACCCTGGTCCTCCACACCAGTGAAGAGCAACTTTACACTGCTTCTACACATCAACAATGGGATTTCAATGAGGTTTCTTCAGAAAAGTCTGTGGTTTTTAACCTCTCACAGTAATGTTGAGAACTACTCAAAGTTCTGTAACCTGAACATGCTTCAAAACTGTCTACTACCTGGCTATAGGAACACAGAAGTCAAAGAAATGGGTTAAAAGAAATGAACAAAAAAAGCCTGTGGATACACAGTGAACCCAACTTCCTTCTCTCCCTGTCAGAAAGACACGCGTGGTGCTGTGCATGCCAAGTTATCTGCTGCTTCTGCTCACTCCTCAAAGCCCACCATCTGCAGCCACACGGTCTGTGCTGATGGGTGCACACTACAAGTCCAGGTGATGCTTCCCAAAACCAGCTGAGATCCACACCTAACTGCTGATGTTCCCAAACTAGAACAAGCCAGTGAGATGTACACACAGTAGTTCTCATCGGGCAGCCAGATAAATGGAGGTGTATCAGGCAAATATACATGATCCTCAAATCTTGCCCAAAGAAAATTTCTGTGGTGTTCTTGGGAAAATCTGGATAGACAGCAGCCCTTCAAAGACATCTGTCAGTTAGCCATAAAACCATGAAGATTTTGTGTGGAATAATCCTACATATCTACCACTCTTCCCATCAGTGGCTGCTTTGAAAGCTATCAATGCAGCCAGGCAAAATAATTTCAAACATATAAAGGCAGGCAAACACATCATCCACAAAAATAATGCAGTGATCTACCATCTACTGCAAAGTAGGAACAGATCTGAGAAGAAAGAATACAGCAAACAACCTGAGTGAGAAGCAAATGACATCTCACATTTCTCGAGCAATGGAGATTTTGAATGAGCAAAAGATGTTACAGGAGATGTTTGGACCTGAGAAGAATGATGTGGTAAATTATTAAAAAAAACCCTACAAGTTTATTGTAGTGAAAGGGAGCTGAAAGGAACATTTAACTAATGTGAATGCATCTACTACTTCCAGATACATTCCCAAGTTTTGGCTAGTGGGCATTCTTGGATATTCCCTTGACAGAAGCACTACAGTAAAACAATCAGAAATAGATCTGTAACTAATAGTTATTGTAAGGTTCTTTTAGTCCCTCCCAAAACCTGCAGCTTCATTTTCACCAATAATAGTTACTTCACTTCTGTTTAACATAAATTTTCAGTGTTTTCACCTTCTCAAACTAAATTTCCTTTTTGCTCTACAAGGATAAGGCAAAAGAAAAAACTTGTATTCTGACATCACAAGCCTTTAACTGGAATTTGACGAACTCTGATCACATTTCTACCTCAGCTGATGAAATAATCACCATTGTAGGTTCCTGTCCTGGTCTGGGGTAGAACAGAACTAATTCTGTTCAGTGATTTTACTTTTCAGCTAGAGCTCTTCTAACTGCCTGCACTGTCTGAAGCTAACAGCATATTTTCACAGACAGTGTCTGCTTCTAGCAGTGATAACACTCCATGTTTAGAGTTATATATATTGTATATATTCCATTTTATTATTTTCATTAAAACTGTTTTACTTTTCTAATCAGTCTCTCTCCCTTCTTCCCTTCTCTTCTGGAGGTGTTCAAAGCATGAGCAGATGTAGCACGTGAGGCTATGGTCTAGTGGTTAGAGAGATGTTGGGATGAACTTTGGACTAGATGATCCTAAAGGTCCTTTCTAACCACAGTGATTCTATGATTCCCCTTTGGGGGAGGGAGGGGTTAACAGAGAGTCTGTTACAGCTCAGGGGGCAGCCCTGACCCTAAACCATGACAATTCCTAACCAGGAATTGTTTTTTTCATTGTAGATTAACCAATACAAGTACATCAAACTGGACTTGGTAAAAGGTCACTCTAACAGGTGTGCAATATGTACCTTACAATGCCTGTCTCCTGTGATGCAGAATGACCTGAGTTCTGAAGTGTAAACAGTCAATACATTTAACCATAATTCACAGAGATCTTTGTGACCAAAGTGTTATTAGAAAGTCTTTTGTTTTATCTTTACAAAACTGTCCCCAAAATAGGGTATGCAAAGCATTATTAGAAAGTCTTTTGTTTTATCTCTACAAAACTGTCCCCAAAATAGGGTATGCATGAGTAAAACTGCAGGTTTTAACCACAAGTCTCAGTTTCAAGTCTCTCTTCTCAAACTTGGCAGTTGAGAAGTAAAAATCATGTGACTAGATGATTCCCAGTGCACAGTGGCATGCAGAGAACAATGCAGAGGCAATTCTTCAGGAGTTTGGTTAGCAAGAGAATTAGCCTCTTACAGGATTTCCTGTATCTACCAGACAACACAGACATCAGTCACAAGACAAAGCACTTAGTCATTAATGCAGGTTTTAAACCTAGCAAAGGACACTGGGTTTATGAATCAACAGAAAGAAATTGTAGGGTCCTCTGGTTTCCCAGAGTTATGGCATGTTAATAGTTAGTGTAATAAACACAGAAAAAACAACATGCACAAGTGTACAAAATTATGGACATCAGCTCAAGCATTCTAGAAAACAAAAGACCTTGTACATATGTAACATGACTGAAGTGCAGCTGCTGCAGGACTGCAACTCTGAATTTTCTGAATCATGTGTTTCTAAAATCTCAGCTGAAATAATAATAAAAATTTCTGTTATGTGGCTGTATTTGGTGGAAAACAAGATAGTGTCTTTACCAACACAGCTTCTGACAAGTGGCTGGAAAAGGACTTTACAAAGAAGGTAATTCAGATGTCGAAAATTCCACCTGGTTTACTGACAGTGTCTCATTAAAAGTTTTTTTTAAAGTTGTTAAACTATGAAAAAAAGGTCAGATTCATGTTTACACATTCGCTAATGGTCAGTGATGCTGGAAAAAGATGCTCATGGACAGAATTTGTTCAGATAGTATGCATCACATGCTAACTCTTGCTCATCATGAGAAAGAAAGAAAACAAAAGACTGAGGAGAAGGCAACTCAGAAAACAGTAACACTTTGAACAGCAATAACCAATCAGAATGCTATAATATATAGCAGCAGTGGGATGTAGAAAATGTTCTCCTCCTAAATGATAAAGCAGTAATTTTCATTCACTCAAAAACATGTAAAGAAAGGGAGTAACAAGAGGTATATTCACTGCACTTTAAGAAAGCCATGACCATCTCAGGAGCAAGTTGACATTTCAAACTAAGAGCATCAAAACAGGATGATCATTTTTTTTGCCACAGGATTTTCATCAATTATAAAGCAGCTGCAGGAGTAAGGAAAATCTGATGCCTGACTGGAATACACCTATGTAGGGTATAAATTATGAATATGAATCCTGATTTCAAATTCTGAATCAATGGCAGAGCCAGAGATGTATAAATTTCACAAAACACAGAATAAGGTTCTATGGAACAGCATCTCCACATTACAGAAAACAACAGAACTAATAAAAAAAACAACACAAAGGAAAATGAAGTGGGGAAAAGTCTACTGGCTAGATCTAAGGACCTCTGGCAGATGTAGAGCACCTTTGCTATTTCAAATAAATGGCAATGCTCAAGAAACAACACTGTTAATTAAAAGCAAGGGTGATGCCAACTATAACTACAGCTAGAAGAAATCAAATCCTAATGCTTGCTTATTTAGGTTATCTGGGGAAGAAATACCCCATGATCTTCTATGCTCTAAACCCATGAACCCTCATAAGGGTGAAGAACACAGTGACAAGTACTACAGCTTACCAGGGAAATCCCCTTTGCGGCTGCTTTGCCCAAACTCCTGAAGCTGTGCTTGTTGGTTTATCTGCTCCTTCTGTAAATTTTCATACCAGTGGGTGACTTCTGCCCGTAGATCAGCCACCTGATCACTAGGATACATTTCTATAGTCATCTGAAATACAACATGGAGTTTGGTTTCCACAGGGTGCAGTGGATTTACTGGAATTTCACAGTGGAGGACGTTGTTGTAGAAGGACTTTTAACCTACCTTGTCAGGAAGCCCAGCTGGCTGACACACGATTCTCAGTGGCAGTGACTGTTTGTCACTCAAGGCTTTCAAGTGACTGCTGATACCAGTGCCTTCAATCTGCCACTGCCTCAGATGATATGCAAACCTTAAGAAGCAGGTAAAAACGTTGAAAAAGTATTTTTGGCAAAACTTATTGAACACAAATGACCACTAAACAATGAGAGGAAAAGACAAAGCTTACACCTTTATTCACTGTTTTTTCAAAATAAGAGGAAGTTACTGATATTCTCACTATTTTTCAAACAAATAAAATAACTTTGAAAAAGTTCCTCTGGTGAGGGATGTGGAAACATGAGCCACATCCATACAACTTTAGGCAAGGACCAACACTTGTAACTGATACATTTCCTTTCAAAATTATCCACTACTGTCCTTACTTTACACAACAAAACCAAGGAAACTATTCCTTTAGTAATAACTCATAATTGATTCATCATTATAAGATGAATGGAAGTAAGTTCTGCATACAAATGTATCAGTGGAGCTATTTACCTTCTCCTAAAAGCCTCCAGGTGTGTCTTCAGCATTAAGAGTCCTCTTTCAATAATAGTCAGGCTTGAATGAGAGTCTTGCTCAAGGTTACTAGAAGCTATCATCAGACTCTCCATACACTTGCTAATAAACTCCTGTTCTTTTTCAAGACCAGTTTTACCTGTAACATTAGTTAAAGTAAATCATATCAGCACAACTTTGAGGCTATGCATTTTAGCACTAAGAACTGAAAGAGGGTAACACTTGATATTCTTTACATGTTAAACAGAACACAAAAATGACATCTCATACCATTGATATAGTAAGAGTTGATATACTGGATAGCTGCTCGACTGACGTCACCAGACTGTGCTCTTAAAGCAATACCCCAGAACTGGTCCATGCCACACAACTGTTTTGACAAAACAAAAACACACAGAGAAACAAACCATTGCCTCATCATTTTACTAGGAGTGATGCTTTTCTGACCTGAAAAAATTCTATTCTCCTCTTGATGCAACTACTAAAAATACTTCCCTTTTTCCTCTGCTTGGGCTTTCACCACTGCACGCATCACTTACTACAAAGTCCTAACTTTCACAGAAATATCTTCATACTTTGGAGCAAGAGGAAAACTGGTTAAAATTCAAGAGAGTGAATTTTCATTTCTGACAAACAGGAGTTGCTTTTTAATGAGGCCTTAAAACTACAGCTATTATCAGTATTTATTGCAAGAATAGAAATGTTAATACAAAATTGCCTCAAATTAATTCACAGAAAAAATCCCATTTATCATTTTATTTCTCAGAGTTTCACTGTGTAAAAAAAATTACAGAAGAAGAATTTCTAAGGCACATCATAAGTAAACTGAGACATATTACACAAAAGATTTCTAGTCAGAATTAAGTATGCCTAACAGAATGTCACCTGAATCTTATTTATAAAAGTAACCATTACAAACCCATTGTTTAAAAACAATAGAGTTCATTTATGCTATGAATATGATGAAACTGCACAAAGATACACAAGCAACAGGCAACACTTGCTTTGTGGTTTCCTGCCTCTACTTCTGAAGACAAAGGCCACACATGCTCAAAGTCATGAGGGAAGGTCTTGAGAATTGGCCTCTTTTACTTCCATTTCATTGTACCACATTTGGAACTTTTGAGTCCCAAGCTCCCAAGGCTCTCTTCAAGGCAGAAATCTACAGACTCCACCACTATGGGCTGAGACTATCTCAAACTAGTAAGCAATACTCAAGCCAACAAGAGATATGCCACTGAAGATAAAGAATTTAACTTTTCCTTCCCTCAGAAAGAAGAAAAACATGAGCACAGAAGCTAAGCTTACCTCAGAGTTTGAGCCCCCATCATATGCACTCGTAGCCAGTCGAGCCAAATTACACAAATGCTGGAAGAGGTTTAGGCCAGTCATACTAATAGTTTCAGGTTTCAGTTGTGGCATCTAAATAAAATTAATGCACTTCAGTATGGAAAAAAATTCAGTGATGGAACAGACAGCAATTACAGGGTATTTAATTCATTAGCACAGAAAAATATCATTGTTACTACCAATAATAGTCAAATGTAGTAGGTCAGTTAAAATTTATTCTCACAAAAGATCACTCTGTATTTTATATACACTACAAAAAAACAAAAATCAACTGTAACTGGCTTAAGCAAACCTCTTCACTGCTGATTTAGACAGTGCAGAGTTAGCAAAATTATTATTCTTCTAACACTACCTGGTTTGGGGTAGAACGGAACTAATTCTGTTCAGTGGTTTTAATTTCCAGCTAAAGCTCTTCTAACTCACTGTACTTCCTGAAGTTAGCAGCAGATCTTCACAAACAGCATCTGTTTCTAGCACTGATAACACTCCATGTTTACAGTTACCACCAAGGATGGGTGTCCTGACCAAGGTCACTGCTAAATCCTCTGTAGCACACAGAGAGGGGAGCAGAAAGTAAAGGCCACATCTGTGGGGAGCAGCAGATAGGACAAGTGAACCTAAACTGACCAGTGGGGTATTCCATCCCATATCTGTCATATTCAGAAGAAAGCTGAGGAATCATGAGGGTCAAGCCCCTGCCTTCTCTTTTGCTTTCTCTTCAATGGCCAGCATCTGAGGAGAACTTCATCCATTCTGCCTTTGATCCCAAGCGTGTGTTCCTGAATGGAGCTCCAGAATCCAGCTCCTGTACCCAATTGCTGTCTGCTGCCCAGTCCAGTCTGGGACTTTTCCCCAGGTCCTGCTCCCCAGCATCAGGGGTGACAGTGACATATTCCCATCAGGGAAGGGAGTTGGGTCTGATACTGGGTTTGTATAGACTTGTATATATTCCATTTTATTATTAGAGCATTATTATTATTATTTTCAATAAAGCTGTTTTACTTTTCTAATAGATAAGTCTCTCTTCCTTATTCCCTTTCTCTGGGGGAGAGGGGTCAACAGAAAGCATCTGTCACAGGCAGGGCTGCCCCCAGACCCTAAACTGTGACAAGCTGCTTCACTTACCAACAGCAGGATGTGCCTGTTCAAAAACTAGACAAAAAAATGTGTAACCCTGAAAAAGAACTAGACTGCACAACCTCTCCATTTTGTAATGGCAGGTGCTGAAATAGGTGGGACCCCTTGCAAATGGCTCTACTGCTGCATGTTCATGTTTTCAGTGGATGTATTGATGAGATTTACACACTCCTCCAAAAAAGAAGAAAAACAGTTTTTTTAGTCTTCTGCTGACCACTTGCCTAAAATAGAATGATATTATCATGAACAGGCAGAGCAGCAGCCAAAGTCCTCCCTGCACTCCCACATCACATCCCAAAGAAGAGGGAGGAACAAGCCAATGCCCTCACCCACCACAGCGGACGTGAAGGGAGCGAGCTGGCTGAGGGGTCAAGCCATGGGAAATGGAAGCAGCCAGGTCATGAGCCCAGTTATATTGTGGGGACTCAGAGACAGCTTCATGCTCTGGCCCTGACATCCTGGGATCTCCACTTGCTATGAAGAGTCAGGGAGCCCTTCAAATGACCAGAATCCCCACACAGTACATCCACTGCACAGGCAAACCTTTCCAACCCCACTGCAAGCAGGCTCCATTCTTATAGAGGTGGTTTCTTGCCCCACCTCCAAGTTAATGTGGAAGGTGGGAGCCCCTGGTGGTGATCTCATCAGTTCCCACCCAAGGCTGGCCCGACTCTGGGTGAAAACTAATCAGGACAGTTTTTCTTGCCTGGTTTTGGCCATCATCCATACGCCAACCCTCATTCAGAGCTGGGGGTTTAAACCCCAGCACTTCAATTAGTCAGGTAAGCTATATATCATAAAGGAAGTACAGCTTTGGGTGGATTTTTTTTTTTTCAAATTGAAGTGCTACAAAACTTCAAAGATAACTCACAGGCTACTTGCAAAGAAACACTCATGTAGAAAGAATTCATGTCAATTCGTTCCTCTCTTCCCTTCAAGCAGAGGAAAATTACTGAATGACAACTGGGGCCTTCCCAGACTACTGAAGACATATTTTTCATAGAAACAATTTAAAGTATGTTCTATAGTGCTGACAGGAAAAGAAACACCTTTACTTATAAGGTTGCAATTAACTCTCTACATACCTTTTCCAAAAAAAGATGCTTGTAAGTCTCCATACCCATAGCATGTTGATCTTTACTTCGCACTTGATTTAAGAACCAGTGTAGTGCATCATCGTAGCATTCAGAATCTTCTACTAAGCAGTGCCACAGTATGTCCACTTGTTCTAAACTCAACCCTAAAATTAGGAAAAAGTATTTTTAACATCAAATATGTAACAACATTCTACAAAACCCAAGGATACATAAAGAAAAATCAATATAGTTCTTGTCAGGCCATGGGCAGGAACACAAGAGAAATGCCTCACCTACTAACTAGAAATCATATAGGTTTCCCCTTTCAGAGCTGTCCATCAGCTACAGTTTTTGGTCATTAGTGCCAACAGTGTTACTAAATGTGGGCTGACCTGAGATCTTGTACAAAATGACAGGTTGTTTCTCAGTTCCTAAGTAACGACTGGGGACAACCTAGAGCCTGGCTTTGAGGTGGATATTGAGATTGTGGCTGAAAATAGTGTAGCTGTAGCTATTTCATTTTTACTACTTTCAAGAAAACTGGAAGTTTATTTTCTCAATTGGCATACAAACGTTTGTAATCCCAACAAACACCTTCAGAAAGAACTGGGGCTATTCTATCAACAGTAACAAATTTGGCATTACACATTTTTTCCTCTTGTCTAGAGGCATTTTCATTCCTTCCTGTACTCTAATGATCAGAGGCACAAGCCATGCATCGTATGCCAACTATGACTACCTAACAGGACTACCCAAATGACTCCTCCCTTCAGTTGTTTTAATAAATGACCTCAATACAATCAATTAAAAGTCCATACAGGGCTGATGCTGGAACAACACTGAAGCCTGTTAGTTTACAAGGGCTTAAGAAGAGAGTGGCCAGAATAATTTATGGAAGGGAAAGCCACCAAGGGTTACTAAAAACCACAGAAAATTATGTTCAAATTCCATCAGCCACATGAAAAGATTTCTCCTTTAACACTTAGAGTGAAAAGGCTTCAGCATCTGCATGGATCAACGCTCACAGGGAATACCACTTTTGCAAAAGACCCTACAGGGAGCATAAACCAATTTCTGACAGTATTAAAATACAAAGAATTACTCCTTTTTGGTATGACAACTTACAGTGCACTCCAGTAAAAGATCTCTGGAAACATTATGGACTTAAAGCAAAACCCACAAACAGAGATTATATTATCTTCATTTCAGTAATTACAACAATCCTAATGTTTAGAAAAACTAAAGCACAGGGAACATAAAAATTTGTTCTTGCAGAACTGCAATCGAAACTGAACTGCAAAGTTGGTTCTGTGCTTTTGTCAAAAAAAATCTTCCTTCTTTAGAAAAAGTATCAGAGATTATTTTAAACTGTAGCTGTTTAAATGTATATTTATTAAAATAACATTGACTATTAAGAACTATGTGAGCCTTACTCTGAGGTGTTGCTCTGATATGGTACCTCAAATACTTACTGAAATGATCTGGTGATCCTAGAGTTGAAAACACACATGTCAGGAATTGGAGACGAACCTGAACTTCTGCACTGTGGCTGTATCTAAAATTTAAATTTGTATAAAAAAGGAAGTTTACTTGATTTTTTTATTGTTATAGCTTTTCCCCCCCCAATCATACATGTCCTTCTTAAAAGCATAAATAATTTTTAAACAGAAGTTTATTTGATTTTTTATTGTTATAGCTTTCCCCCCCCCAATACATGTCCTCCTTAAAAGCATAAATAATTTTTTCTTTGAAGTTTCTTTCTGAACTTCTAGATCAGACCACACTAAGCAAGTGCAATGACACACTTAATGTCTGACCCTAATTTTTCCCTTAACTTGTAAAATATTGATATTTCTTCTATTCATTTCCTATCTCAGCTGATACATACTCTATAAAAATGCTTTCATAACTTATATAAAAATATTAACTCTATTTCTAAGATAGAAGCTCAAAGGTCAAGGAAGCAGAACAATGTATCATTTTGCCTTAATGTAAAGCAATTCATCCAACTTTTACACAGCTTTTGAACTCACTAGAGCAATGTCCAATATAAAGGTATATGCTGAAGTAAAAAACTGACTCAAATAGCAACACTTCCCATTTGTGGATATAGATACTCTTATTTACATATTGACTTTGACATCTGTCAAAATATGAATAGCCTATTCTTCCAAGATTGGGAGCTAGAAATTCTTTTGCTGGTGTGTATACACCTAATTCTAATCACAGAGATTGGAAGGTGTAAATGAATGTGTTAACCACAAAAGCACCACTGCAAAGGCTATTGATAACAGATTTTTAAACTGGAATATTTGAGTAGTTTTATGATATGAAATCACTTCAAACTGATTTGAATACGTAAAATCTTCATGTTTTATTTGTAAACAAATATTCAACATCATGTCTAACCAAAAATGGCAGGAGAGTTGTTCTGCAGTTATCTTTTAAGGAAAAGGAAGTTACTTATAATGTTATTTGGTTTACAGACCTTTGTCTCTCTAATCATGTAATGTAGAAAGTAACTATAGAAAGTATTTAAACCATAAACCATTTAAACCATTAACAGCTATTTAAACCATTTAAAACCATAAAAGATCCAACACCCAAAGACAGCTTTGTACTTACAATGCATGTTTGTGTCGTCCTTCCCTGACTGCCTGAATGTAGTGTACCAAATTGTCAAAGAAAAGTTTCATCATATTAAGTTCCTTTTCTGCCCACCTGTGGCAATGTAAAGGGCACGAAATATTATGGTTTGCTTAAAAAGACCAGAAAAGCTACAAAAATTAGAAAGCTATTACAGAAAAATTGCAAACACATAAACCCAAAGTAATCACTCAATTTTCCATCTAGCATGAATTCAGGAGGATTTTCCAGTACAGTACTCTATTTTTCATTGTTGCTGTTTTCAGGCACAGGACTGATAGAACACTTCCTTTTGAGACCATGAAAAAACTATTCCTAAAGGCCTTAATTCAGAAAACATCTAAGTCAAAAGTCAGAACAGGGCATATGCTTAAATCTCATGTCAAAAAGACAAGAAAAATTGCTGATAATCACTGTAATCTTTCCCAGAAGTTTCAGTAGTCTGGTCTCTGTTAAGGAATGCTATACAACGTGTCCTCACATTTCAAAGGTTTACTTATAAACTGAATTTTTTATTACTGAGAAACCCTGATATGCAAACAGAGAAGAATGATGTACAATCAAACTTCTACCTTTTACAATATGCTGTTACTTGGCACCTAGTACTGTCTGCAAGTCCTTTGGTATTTAAAGGGAGGGGATTAAAAAAATATAAATAAGTCTTCGTATGGGTTAGGACAGCAGTGTGCATTATGAAGAAATCTAGGCCTGAGTGATTAGATCAGCTCATACACCTAGGCCAGGTAACAGGCAGGTGGTAACTATAACTCATTACAAATCTGGGCAAGGCCTACAGAGCAAGTCTTGCAGCAGTCATCTGAATGTCATCACTTCTGCTGGTTTAGTCTGCTGGGGACACGGGGCTACTTACATTGTTATCCAATGTGTATCATAGCTGCTCCCAAATTGTTGAAACGTACCAAACAGCTTTGGAAGAAGACGAAGTGAAACTACTACTGATCTAAAGGAGAAAGAAAAAATTAACGACCGTGTGTGATGCTTAAAAAATTAAAATAGTCAATTTTAAAATTACTTTGAGAAGCTCAGGTACAGCTGGCAAAAAGGCTAAGTGAAAACGCTGGAATTATCTGTGTTAAGTTTACCATCATGTCAGCCAATTACTTTTCTGAATCTGACCTACACAGCCTTCAAATTCTTTACATGTAATACCTCAGACACACAACTCTCGGATAAGTATCAAAATAAAACAGTATATATTTTGCTTATTACAAATTTTTTAAATGTTGGAAGTTAAATTTTTATTTTTGTTTCTTAAAACTTATCTTTTGAAAATTCAGCAAAATTAGTATGGGTTTTCTAGAAACAGATGACATAACAGAAATAAATCTATCTCAAATCATTATAGATACAAGTAGGTGTGTATTGTAGGACAATTATCTAGGAAGACTCAAAAAGTGCATAAACTGCATGTAACCATACTTCCATGTCAGTGATGAGTATCTTTATTAATTAATATCAAGTATAAATAACAAGTATACTTGTAACTCATCTCACAGTTCTTAGCAAAAAGGTAATAACATAACACTTCAGGTGATGTCCAGCACTTGATTCATTCTATCAACAAAATAAATTCCACTTTTGCTAGTCTTCAAAATGCACAATCTCACAGCTTTGGTTGGTATTAGAACAAGTTATCTGAGGTGAAGGTACTGCTACTACCCTCCAGCTGCTGCTTCACAGAACTTACACCCTGCAACAGACCTGGTAGAAAAGAACTTGTCTGTTCCTCAGCCACTTGCCCATATCATCTAAATATTCAGTTCAAAATGTTTATGCTGCGGCACCTGACCTTGCACTCAACTGGCTAAGGTGTGGGGCCCATATCACCAAATGGTAGGAAGGCAGTAACCTCTGGCAGAGGGGAGAACAGACAAATGCAACAAGGTAAGAAATTCAGGACATTGATAGAACAGAAAAATGGAACACCAGGTACATCCATAACACCTTGAAAACTATCCTTATACTTTGGCTTTTGTCTGCTCTAACTTGTCTTCCTGTAAAATCAAAGGACTGTTATCATCAACTTAGATTTCCTATAAGTTGCAAAAAGAGATAAATGTAAAAACAGATCATTTAAGTTACCTGTTGTTTGCTAAATTTTCTAAGCAGCCTTCAATAAATCTCATTCGAATCTGTCTGTCAGTGAACCAGCACACTAAAGAACAGAGCAGCTTCTCTGCTTCATTTATTAACCCTTCAGAGAGATGAATCTACAGCAAGTAGAAAGAAAGGTCACTGAATAGTATTATATTTATTTTCTTTTAAAAAATATTATTTTCTGCTATTCAACTTACTGCATCTTCATCCTGGACCAGATCCCACAAAAGAGTATTTCCTTTCTTACAAACATTATCCAAATTAATGTCGGTCACCGCATTACTATTATATTGATGTTTATGAACTGCTGGTCCTGAACAAAACACAAAGACCGTTATTAAGTAAATAGAAGGAACTATCTGATCTGAATATTATTCCTTAAGTGCATGAACAACATGCTTTCCTGCTTGAAAGCTCATGCAACAACACTGTAATTGCAGCCTTTTTCCACACAGGAGTTCTCAAAAGAATACAAAACATTATGACCACCCGAGAGCCAGCAGGACAGTTAAGCCAATATTTACACTGGTTTTGGCAAACGGCGACGTGCAATAAAAACAGTACTTAAGAATTGCAGATGCAGGTGCAATTGCTTTTTAATTTAATTGGATTCAATTCATAGTGTAATTAAAATATTTCTTCAGTCCTTCTCTACTACTGTGGTCCAAAGGGAAGCATCTTTATAGCTACCATGGTTGGAAAGCAAGAAAGCAGCACATTTCAACAAATTCTCCTCATACTGCATCATCCCCTATATCTAACTAAAAAACAGGAATAACAAACACTGTTTTTTTCTATACAACAGAGTATCAAAGTGCATGACTTCAGAAACTCATCATGTCTTCACAAACACTGAGAGATATTCTCTTCCTTTGATATGACCACAGCTGGCACCATTCATTTATCTACTATTTTCATGTAAGAGAAAAGTCAAGTAGAAAATTTAGATTGCATGCAGCACACTAATTATTTGCTCGTGCAAAACTAAGGGTGTCAAAAAATCTGCACTAAAGGTCTTATGCTCAAACAATAATTTGGATCTTCAGTAAGCTCTTTAGTATCTACAGAAAAGATTGATACAATATGTTGACTGACAGCACGTTCAACGTCAGGCTGAAATTATAATTCCGTTTCACATAACAAGAAATGTTAAACCTAAAGAAAAAAGACACTTCTTACTCGACTGTGTTTCTGGAAAAGAATATAAATAGTACTGGCTTTTCTGTCTGCTGCAAGATAGCAAACCTGGGTTTGTCAGAGCAGTGAAGAAAAACATCAAACCTTCACTAACCAGATCTTCCATTATATTTAAAAGGAGGACAAAAAAGAAAATAAAAGCTGCCACAATAGCATATGGGAAGATAATATAATTCTTGCAAAGTGTTTTAGTAGCATCTTAAATTGCACCCTGAAATAAACTAGAAGATTTGGCAATGTAAGATGAAATAGTATAAAATGCCCTTTAAGGCAAGCTCCCTAAGATATCAAGTTATATTTTAACTCATTTTTCCAAAATTATCCTCTGTACAGCCCATTATGGTTAATTCATTTAAGATGACAAATGTACAGAATTACAATAAGATCCACCCACCAGAAGAAAAATCGCATAATATTGTGGAGAGAAAAGAATATCTCCCATCTTTCCTTTTACTTTAATAACTGAATAGAAAAAAAAAAAGCATTTGCTAGGCTCTTCACTGCCTTTATTTGGTTTAACTTGCATTAAAAGCTCCAGTAGAAGGGCAAGCAGAGGGGGAATTTTAAGAAGGTAAACACAGATATATCTAATGTGATAGAAAAATTAATCTCTTGTAGAAACAGTAAAATCTCAGTAGTCACCATAGTTTCTTTGGGCAAATACACAAGTATGGTTAAAATAATTTTATTATTATAATTACTGGAGGCTAAGCCAAAATTATACAAAACCAAGTTAGAATTGCAATGTCTTTCTGTTTTCTTTTTATCACACTTACCTTGACTAAGATGTTCGTGATAGATAGAGGCAAGGTTAGGAAGGTGCTGCTGAAGATGAGACGTTAGCTCAGCATGTGAATTAATCTGTACAAGCTCTTCTTCACAGCCAGACTCTTCCCCATCAAAATCAGCCATATTTTTCTCTGATTTTGCACTGACTTGGGAACTACTGCAGCTGACATCATCTGCACTTAGCATATCATCAACCATATGGCTGTAAAAGAAAATTATTAGAAAGGAAAATATCAAAGAGAAAGTTGTTTGTAGGAGATTGCAAGTCAGTAGACATCTCCCCATAGCTAGTCAGGATGGATCATCTGTCTGAACAGCAGATCTTCATATGAATTTGAAAAACAACTGCAAATAAATTGAAGGCCACACTATCACAATGATTTTTTTTGTCTTCTTGAACGTTAAATGAATACAGTGTTTTCTGAAACAATTTTAACCTTTTGTTAAATGCTGTCTTATTTATTGACTACAAAAACTTCACAAAGAACTTTAATCAGATGTTAACAAAGTAAGATTACTGTGTAACTATCTGCAATAACTATCATTAGACAAAATTATCCTGAACTGTAGCAAAATGTCCATTCAAATTTCTGCCCAAACTGAGTATTTTTTAATTGTGCTATAGAAGGAATCAGAAGAAATGTCAAGCTACCTACCCGTCATGGTGATGGTGGTGGTGGTGGTGATGGTGGTGATGTTGTGGCCCAATGAACTGCCGACAGTTAAATAATTCATTTCCAATAGTTTCCCCAAGGAAGTCCCCTGTGTGAGTTATACAAGAATCCTGAGACCCTTGTGAAATGTGAGTAGTGCTCATCTCCCCTGTTATATCATGCTCTGCATCCTCAGTGTGAGAACAAGCATCTAACATTCTAATCCGATTATCCACCGGCGTCACGGAGTCCGCGTTAAAAACATGGTCCTTTCCTGCCCCATTGTTTGCACCACTCCTCTCCGATGCCCCTTGTGAATCCCCCAGACAAATGCCTGTTTGTGAGTCCAGCTTCCTGCTTCGTAGATCTGTGCTCCTACTGCTCTTCTGAGGATTATGACTCCTATCTTCTTCCTCTTCGTCGTCCTCCTCTTTGAGAGCTTCAATATCTGCAATGTCTTCGGACTGCACCTCGCTGCCAGGGCTTCCAGCAGACTGGCTGGCGTGACTGGAGTTGGCCTCATTACTGGATCCATCACTGTGGCCACTGCTACTACCAGGACCACTACTGCCATCCTCACCACTGTTGGCTGTCTCATCAGAGCTTCCTTGCATGGACTCCTGAAATTTTTTTATTTTTTTTTTTTTTTAAGATTGGTGGAAAAAGAAAACACCACTGAAAATATATAATCAACATCATCATCATTCAAACACTGTTCTACATTTATGACCCATGTGTCAAATCTACATGTCTCCATTCTTTCTCAATTTGGTTGCCAATGACAAAATGCTCTGAGCAAGATTTGGATTTAATAATTTAATTTTTGCATTACCTTATTCATTGCAGGGTATATGTGCAGGCTTTGCACACAGAGTGACTCATAAAAAATATGTCATGCAATCCCTTACCAAGAGATAAATCTCTCCAAAATACAATTTAAATGCAGGGATCTGTCTGAGGTGGTTTTTTTGCAGCGCATTTCCTTATAGGCAAGGTACAATATATGCTATGTAAACTGCATGGAACATAAGATTCCAGGCACCCACTATTCTGCTGCAGGTAAGAATACATGTCATAGGCTTGTTCAGGCTTTGAAACTATTGCAGAAAAAAACAAATTATTTAGGCAACTCAGTAAAAAAATTCACAGCCTAAGAGTTATACTCCTACCTCTGTATCTGAAAGCCTCTGCTGTACATGTTTTGTTCTGTTAATGAGCTGCTCCTCCATTTCAATATCGCTGCCCCCACTCTGATGGGTGTCACTGTTGTCACTACTTTGAGGGCTTGCTGCTGGTGACCCTAGGTCAAAACCATATTTCCCAGTTACTTTGTAATATATATTAATTGGAACATAACAGCATGTCATAAATCTGCCTCAGATGCTGAACTCAACATCATTTTTTCTGCAAACATTTGAGTAAGGGACATAAGTCAATCCACATTTCTAAACACTAAAAATTCCTTTTAGAACACTGAGCATTTGACTACAAAATTTGTATCCTGATGTCTCCTCTGGTCAGTATATAGCAAGAGCTGTAAGAATTTCCTAGATTCTACATGAGATAAAATTTTCAATGGACTTTTTAGAAGAGCATAACTTCAAAGTTTTACTGGTTTTCTATTCAAATTCAATAGCTGTAGCACTGGAGTGTCAAATGTATCAGGTTGTGGTGAACTTCTAAAAGCTATACTTACAAGGTGAAGGTGCTGCTCTTCTGAGCTCCTCTTCTTCTGAGGGGAAAAAAGCAGGATGGAAAAATAAGTGACTAAAAATCTTTTTGTCAGCATACAGTTGTCCATGATTCATAAAAATCAGCAGTAGGAAAAGGAAGGGAAACTATAGTGAAATGGCTAGGCAGCACCTGTAGTAATGACTGTGGGGAAATGGTGTCAAGTAAAAAGAAAAGCTCCAAACCCCTGAGAAATAGCATGTAATATCAAAATATAGGTCAAAATTAGATATGCTTTTGTAAGGTTTTATGTAGCTATGTAAGTTACAGATGTTCAGCAGTACAAGAACGGTTAACTGATGAGTTGTGTACCATCCTCTTAATTAAAAAATAAAAATAAAAATACACAGTACTTTAGATACACAAAGAGAATTGATCTTAAATAGAGCTCTCCTAATATGCTCACACAGTTTTAAAGCTTTCATCTTTATCCTCAGCATGAAAAATCTGCCAGCACGACGCTTTTAAAAAATACCTCAAGTAAAAAGGTCTGTACATCCTTTTTGTCCAGAGTCACCAAGAAGACTACAAAAATTAAAAATTTAACTACCAGCTCTATTAGAAACCCACATACCTTTTTTGTTTCCCATGGGTAGATTGGTACTCAGCAAAGATGCAAAAGAACTTTGTTTTGACAGCTGAGCCTTAGCTGCTAGTGCATTATTCCACAGGGCTTTTATAAGCATTGATGCCAAATACAAGGTCTATAAACAAAACCAGAGAATGGTGCCATTAAGGAGCAGTAGGTTTGGTATGCAAAGATCCATTGTTGATCTTTCTATATGTCAATACTATAGTTTACCAAAATGAACTCATCAACATAAAAGGAATGCACAAAATAATGTAATGTGAAACACTAACTTCAGACACGAAGCTGAAATCTATGCAGTATTCAAAAATATCTGAAATAGATGATAATCCAAAAGCCAGAAGGGGCCTATTTGAAAAAATATGACAACTTTACTCTGATAGTTTCCTCTCCTATGCATTAACAAATATTACCTTTAAATGCATTCCTTTAGAAAGACAAATCCAAATCCATTATGCTTGTTTAATATACTAGCATTGTTTCTTCTCTCATCATAGGATTTTGCTTGCCTTGTTTTTTACCTGTTCAGTGTGAGCACTTGGATGAAGAGTTGAGACTAGGTTAAGGAGATGTCTAAGTGGGACAGGATCCAAGTTTTTGATCAAAGAAGGAAACAAGTCATGTATGTAACGACTGCAATGCTTTAGCTACAAAGTACAAACAAACAGAGAAGATAACAAGAACCACAAAATGAAATTTAAAAACAAATAAAAATAAAGCAAAGATGGATAAAACTCCAGCAATTAAAGAACATGTCTGCACAAATTCTCAGGAACCACATCCTATAATTCCAAATTACATCAGACTTGCAATTTTGACTAAACTTAATTTTCATATAGTAAAGCATGTAAAGTTTAGTAAAATGAAATGTGACAATGTCCTCCCTAGTTCCAGTTCTAAGAGATTTGGTGAAAAGAAGTGGAAGATTATTTTCTATTTTAACCTAAACATATCTTCTACAAAATTAGCGTACATGCTAAATCCTGAAGGAAAGAATACTTGCAAGGATAACCTTATTAGCAGTGGTAAATAGAAATAAAGACATTACAGGCTAATATGAGATTGAGAGACCAGAAATGAACTGTGTGAGGATTACTTACAATTCTTATGTCTTTCCAGTAATGGATATCAAAAAATATGACAATGCATTTAACTAACTACTCATTAAAGAGACCACAGTCCTACAAGTGTCCTTTTAGGTTAAATGCTGCTTTTCATAGTCACTCAAAGGGTCTGTAAGGATGTTGATATTAAAAAAAGATAAAATAGTGGTTCATTCTTTGTTTTATTTTGCCTTCCTGGAATATCAAATATCTGTGTCAGCAGTTTATGGGGTACAGACCCATATCATTCATTTCATATGATTCCACCTGGAGTGAAATTACATGAGTTCTATATAAGGATGTCTTTAAACATCTTGAGATATCTGCTTTAAGTCAGGGATAATTTTTGTCCAAAAGCTCATTTAAAAAGTGGAAAATACATTCCATATGGCCTTCTATTAGTCTAAAGGTGTCAAGCATTTTAAGCAATACTAGAGGTTTAAACCTTTTACAGGAAGTAATCAGGACATAATTATGTTCTCAAACATATGTTTGTCCTTTTAGGTTAAATGCTGCTTTTCATAGTCACTCAAAGGGTCTGTAAGGATGTTGATATTAAAAAAAGATAAAGAATGAACCACTATTTTATTTTATTTTGCCTTCCTGGCATATCAAATATCTAGGTTTAAACCTTTTTACAGGAAGTAATCAGAACATAATTATGTTCTCAAACATATGTTTTGAAAATAACAGGATGTCAAAATGAACATGTAAACTGTAAAAGAATTAACAGGTAAACTGTAAAAGAATTAACAAATTTGGGTAATTATATTAAGTTCTTAAAATAGTATAGAAGATAAAAAACCAAAGGTCTAACACACACGAAAACATGCAAGAAGGTAAAATATCACTTAAAAAAAATTAATTGAAGTAATTATTAACTACTCTGACAGAGCAAATCCTTGGAACCTATTAGGAAGAATGGTGTCATAATGAGCATTTATTAACATGCCAGCTGCATGTTACAATGACAATGGACTACAGAGGTTTCAGAACACAGCACTATTGCATTGAAATACATAGAAATACTGATATGTATTTAACAAAACCCTTTAAATGTAACTTTTATAGAAGTATGTTCCCTATACCTGTTCAAAGAGATTGATTTAATTTCTCTGACCTTCACATTGAAACCTTGAGGGTTTTTTCCTGTATATTTTTGTTTGGGTTTGTTTGATTTGGTTTTTCTAATAATTAAGATAGAATGAAACCACAGAAAAATAGTTTCCACAACAGGAAATAAAAATGTCTACTCTATTCACATCCCCTAAATTAAACTTTCCACAACCTAAACTAAAAATCACAGCAATCCATTAAAAGCAGCAAACAAATACATCTTTTTCAAGGAAACAAGCCTATCAGAGTTTCCAGGTTCACCAAGCAAAGAATAAAATCTCAGTGCCTTCTGCAGATTTTTAACACCAGCACTGTAGCACAGCTATAAAATTCACTGCCACAATTTTCACCTGATTGTTCCCACCAGGAGTTACAGAGATGGAAGCCACAATACATAGGAGCAAGGCAATGTAGCACAACAGTAAAAATATTACATCTACACCACCATCTTTATCTCCATTTTTAGTGAAAATGCTGTGACTTTGCTATTTATTTATTTTTTTTGTATAAAAGCAGCCTGAATTCTTGCATCTAATGAAAAAAAGTAATTGTGGTGGTTACCTAACAATATCTTGGTCAGCAGAACAGACACACAGACAAGAAAAAGAAACTCAGCTTTATGAATATAAACCAAAATCAACTGTTATTTTCTGTGGTTTTTTTTTCAATCTCTCCTGCAATTATAAAAGATTTACATATACCTGTGCTGCAGCCCAGATACAGTCTATATGTTGAGTACTAAGTCTCCCTTCAGCTGCAAGAAAATTCAGAATCACTTGGCACTGTTTGATGATCTGCAAAGTGAGAACATATTGAGGAAAGATTTACTAGAACAAGAAGTTACTCCTCCAGGTTTATACAACAAATAATCACAATGTTATACAAACCTCAATATGTAAATTTGGTCCAAAAATGTGCTCAACTACATTGTTGCTGATAAGCCAGTCTGCGAGCTCTTTTGCAATTGACCTAGAGTTGAAAAAAAGCATAAATATGTAAACTATCTGCCTGTAATATAAACACTGTGCTCTTCCCTAGCACAGCATGTCTTTCAAATTAGTAGCTGTGATTGTAACAAGCATATGAAAACTTTTTGGAACACAAAGTGTACTCAACCTGCATTCATTCAGGTAGGAAGCAAACAATTTCCATATTCTTTCTTTAGCTGAAAGACTAAACCCAAATATCAACATTTCCCTCTCACCCCTCTAAATCATTAGTAAAGATGTAACCACCAACAACCCTACCAGTGTTATTGGCAGAGCTCAAGACACCACCTGTAGACCACTTTTCAGAGACCTCTCAGGTAAGATTTTCATACATTCTGCTGTTTAACCCCAGTTTAAAATGAAATTCCAGAACTATTGAGTTCACAAATGCATATAAAGGTAGGAGTGATAGAAATTATTTTTTAAAGAAAACCACTTAAATATATTTAGATTCACTTGCCTAAATAGCACCTCATCTAGCTTTAAAAAGCTGTTTTACCTGATTATACTTAAAACACACATAGCCTACAGACACTTCTATATTCTCATTTTGTTTCACCCCTAACAACAGGCACCTTTACCCACTGCCAATCCACAAGCAAACATTCAAACAGAACAGGACAAGGAAACTGAATTTTCCAAAACAAAGCTGAACTTCCAGAAAGGAGTCTCTGTCTGGAAACTGCATAAGCTCTTTTCTATTCCTTCCTTTCAAGCAAATGTTTGTTTACCCAGATTCTGGCACCAGAAGCAATCGGAGGACATCCCAGTATTTAAAGCACAGCCTGCAGTTTAAATGGCCCTGGAATAAAAGTGCTCTGTTTCACGAGGAGGAGAGGATGGGAGGGAGGAGCTGTCTTAGAGGACTACAGGAAGCATTTTTTACCACTATTTGTGACACATTTATGGTCACTAATAAATTCCAGGATTGCCAATCTTTATCATCTGCAATAACAAAATGAGATTCTTTAGGTGAAAAGAGATTGCCTTTGTAGGCTTTCCAAATGGGATTCACTTTGCCAGGGCATGCTGCCAGTTCTTCAATTGTTTTGAATTGCCTGATCCCTACAGATCAAGTCAGCATTGCTCCCATTACTCAACACACATCATTCCTAATACTACCCTTTTCTAATTCCAGGACACAGGGAAACACATATTCTTGTATTGTTCAAAAAAGATAGTGTCCCTAATAATTGGCTAAACTAATAATTGGCTCACAAGGTACAACAGTTTACCAACAGTGTCATTTATGGCTTATTAATAAATTTGCTGTCATAGTGTGAAGTCAGTTTGACAGCATATCTGCTCAAGCAGGGATAAAAAAGACAAGCTAGGTCTCTTCCAGGAAATCCAGATCTACTTAACTTCCCACACCCTCATCTCAAAACAAAACCAAAACCCCATCACCACCCCCAATCCCCCAACTATGCTTACCCCAAACCTAACTGTGGAGCGTGCACGTTACAGGATCATTCAGACTTCGACTTCTGCCTAACAAGTATCTGAAGTAAGACCTGTTCACACATGAACTGTGATTTTGCAGCTTTTAAAGCTGAAGCAGCCTGTTATTCATTTGAATATATGCGAGCAGTCTCCTTTAGCAACAAATACAGCTCTAAAAAATCCTGCTCTTACCCACCTGCCTCCATAGTGAGTTACCGCAGTGGCACTGCCCATATAGCTCAAGAGAGTAGAGCTCTGATACTCTCCATTTTGTCATATATCTGGTAGATTTCATCTTCTATCAAAAGTGCCCAACCCATACTCTGAAAACTGAACGCAGCCTGAAAAACAGCTCCTTGAACTCAGAGCCTATTTGCCCCCAACTGCTTCTTCACATTGCTTCCCCTTGCTGTGGACAAAACGGCTCTTGCTGCACAACCAGAAGAAAAGCAGAAAGCCTCACAGTTTGCATTTTGCACATATAAAAGGTAGACAGATCTGGCCACATGAATCAACATATACCTCCTAGATGCAGGAGACCTGAATGGATGCACATCTGGTTATGAAATGTGAAAAAAATCATCGCATATGGCCCTCCATAAGAGGTAGAAGCCTTAACACCCAAGCCATATGTCAACAGAGGTAACACTGTTTCAGGGCTGCTTAATTTCTTCTTGGGTCTGAATTTTTAAACCTGTAGATTTCAGAATAACCCCCAGAAAAAAACTGCTAGATTTACTAGGTATGGTTAGTATGAAAGAACATACTGCTCCGTGTCTCTTCAAATCAAAAAACTACTGCTAGTGGCACAATGTCCATCAGACATTGCATCCAGAGTTCTATGCTGCATTTTAGCTACTCCATAGGGAAGAACAAAACCCCTCTTACAGAGCCAATTCCTTCACATTTTATTACTTGAGTATGGCAGCTCTCTATTTCTAGTCTGCAACATTTTTATTTTTCCTGAGAAATAATGGATTATTCTTTTGGAGGAATGCCTTTAATAGATGTATTCTCAGAGGTAAAAAACTCTTTATCCTACTGGTGAGCTCAACAGTGATAAAATGACATCTCAGATTTCTGAAGGTAAACATTCATTTGATATGGATTTCTTGAGGATGATGAAAAACAAGAGGATCCTTGTGAGAGGCAGAATGCAGTCTTTGTGTTTCCCAGAGAGAAGTACTCCTCCCAGAAAGTTTTGCTGAGAGTGCACCAAGTTTGTGTATTGTCACTTACCCTGTTTTTACTTTAATAACTACCAAAAGCCCTATAGCCTTGAGAAATTTCAGATGCACTCAAGTTCATAAAAAAGCACTAAGTTCTGAGCTGTCCCAATTCAGCAGGGCAACCTAGAATAGCTTTTTATTAAAAGATTTAAAGTGTAATTTTCAATATTTTTCAATGCAGTTTCATTTCAATTTCTAGCTATGTTAGAACTTCTTTCACATAGGCTGCATTTTTCATAATTCAAAAGTATTTTTTCATAGAGCAATTTGCAAACTATTGTATGACTACTACTTTACAGTATCACTACAATTTGGGCAACTTAGCGAGAAGCCAATTTTCAGTAAAAATATGCTCAGATTTTCTTTTAAAAGAAGATCTTCAAAAGGTTATAGAAAAATTGTCCTCTTTCATATGAAAGGAAACAGCGAGAGTGAAAAACATGCATTATTATCAAAGTATAGATATGCTTTTCCCTCTAACACAAAGGTAGTACAAAGAATGGTTTTACAAATTAGGTATCTAAGTCACACAGACCTTAGTAGTAAGAACATTCACCTTGGTAATAACACGTTAACTGCTTTTCACAGATTCAGTAATTGGGATAGCAAGAGGAAAAATCATTTAAAGAACCTGACACACTCTACAAGTCTGCTGTGGGTGCAGGAGGAAGACAATGACAAAGTAAAGACAGCAGCTACTCTAGTTTAATTGTCCCTAAGTCTTTCTCACACTGGAAATCTACACAACGTGTTGGACTACACGATCTCCAGACATAATCCCTTTCCCCCTAGACTTGTAACTTCAATTCACTGACAATTCATGCCTGTCAAAAATAACTGTTTTACTTCCAAGAAATGAAATTCAAGCACTTCTGACATTACTTTCCCCAGGCATTCCGTGAGACTGTGGGGAAGAGTGGAAGCAATCCTGTTTCTGATCTAACCTGACGTCTGTGAACTGTACTTGCAATAGGCGAATACTAAAGCTTGAATTTTGTTTATTATAGTAAATAAAACTATCTGGAAAGAAACTACAGTTTACATGTTTTCCTGATAGATCAAAGAATTTCTCTCTATAGGAAGACTGGATTAAAGTCCTAGAAACATTTTAATCTAAGGCTGTGGTGCAATACTGGGTAGCCACATGATGATTCAGATCCAGGAACAAATCCCACAGCAAAATAACACCCCCAAAGAAAAACTTTTTCATCCAACCATCATTTCCCAACACAATTCACCACACAGCTGCAAAAACACTGGCTCAGTACTGGATGAAATACAATAGCAAGTAAGAAACATCACTAAAAAATATAAACTAAAATCGTGAAAAAAAAAAAAAAAAAGGCTGAAATATAACAAGCAGCTTGCAAAGGATGACAACTAACATTTCTTAAGAAAATCACTGAAATAGCATCTTCAGCATAACAATGGATGGAAAACACTAATCTCAACTATTTAGGATCAGAAATGCGAAGAGGATATAGCAGGCACCTAGCCAACACAGACCTATGCACAAATTTCTGTTTGTGAGCACACACTGTCTTATCTGACACTCCAAAACCACCACTCTGACATGATCTTGAATATTTATTAAACAGCTGTGTGCGCCACTAGAAATGAGACATTAATGACCTTAGACAAAACCTTTACTACTATATTTTTTCAGACAAAATCTGTAAAGATTCCTGGAATGTGGAATAGAGAGAGGGGAAGAGGTGTTGAAATGATGTTGCCATAAATTCAGCTGATGGGTTTACATAAAAACTGAGAAAGCAAGATTTAACGTGAACTAAGAGAACAGTAGTGAAGGGAAAAGGAATACAAAACTTGCTGTTTGAAAGCTGAATAAATAGGGAAAGGGAGGGAAAAGAATGGAGAACTAGACCAGATGTTTCTGTTCACAGGTGAAGGGAATTTTGGACACCTGAAATTACTCTGTAGGAAGCTTTTTAAGTGAGGGTAATCAAGCTTTTAAATGAGGCAGGAGGTCATCTCAACATCAACCCAAATCCCAAAACTCCGATGCTTGGCTACCTGCCAAGTGAGGAGCAAAGCAAAATATCTCTTTACACATGTTATTTCCACAAGCTGCCAGGGTCCTCATTAAGGAAAAAACTGTTTTTTCCTCTTGTGGTCCAAATATCACCGAGAAAAAAAAAAAATCTTTCCCTCCCTGAAAGGCATGATCATTTTTCACTAACTAACATCAGTGAGATAGTTTTAGAAAGCACTATTCAAAGACCTGAACACTCTTCTGCTCAGTCTCATCATTTTGAGTTCATTAGATTTCACACTATTCAGTACCTTCGACTGTAAAGATTTGGATTCTATTTTAAGAGCCAGGAACAGCTAAATTAGAAGTATATCTCTGAGGGATATTATGAAGTTGAGTCACTGAGACAGTGCACATATCCAGACAATACGCATACTCTGTCACCACAACCCCTCAACTCTAGAGAAGATAGTCAAGTAAACTAAATCTAAGAAGACATACAAATACCTACAGCTAGGAAACAGATTTCTCTGCCTTAGCTTTCTGCTGCTTTCAAGTGCAGATTGTGAAATCCACTGTGCTCCTAGACAAAAGATGCTTTAGCTCATCCTACCATGGGAAAATTTGCAACTGTGCAGATAAAGGTGGGAAGCTACTGTTGTAAAACATTTGCTAAAAAATCCTGATGATACTTCCAAAAGGGAAGTGCTAGGACTGACTGACAGCTCTTGTTTTTAAAAAAGGTACCTCCCACAAACCCACCTTATCAAGATACAGAAGGAGAAATCCCAAAGGTTGACAGTTCCAAATGCATCTGGAAAAGTCAAAACACAGAATGGGGATGACCAGACATAATGCAAAACATCTTCCTTTGATAAATCTGCAGAGGCTACAAAGGTACAAGATAAATCTTAGATTTCCTTTCTCCACTAAGGAGAGAAAATAGGAATGAAAAGCTTTCCTTTTGCTGCTCATTCAATCACTGCCAACTCCCTAAGTGCCTTCTCATCCAAAAATTTCTTCTGAACAGAGCCTCTAATGAGAGGGAAGCTCTGTTCTGAACTAAGTGTAGATGTGAGACATTTTTCCCATTCTTCTGCACTAGCCTTTTGTGATTATTTGGCTAGAAGAAATCAGTGACTTCAAAAGACACCTGAAGATAAGCAGCAACACTTGATACTGACTTGCACCCAACTTTTCTGGTAAAACACCAGCACGACTGGAATTCAGATTAAAAAAAAAAAAAAATCACATACTACAAAAGTGGAGAAGAAGGTCTTGTGTTCATGCTGCATTCCTTTCAAATGACAGGCTGTTTACAGGGCATCCTTGCCAAGAAAGTAATATCCCAAATGAGATTTTGACAATTTCCTTCAGCTTTAAAATAACTCTGATGTTCTTATATAGTACATCTGCTCTACCGCAGGGAATCTTAAGCACCCTTCTCTCTTTTTCCCCTGTTGATAACTTGTCTTTTTTACATTTGACACAGAAAATCAAACAGCTTTTTATTAGGTTGAACTGGCAGAATGATGTTAACATTCCTTAATCAGTTGCTACTAGTTAACAACTATTTTGTTGACAAGGGGTTTCAGAGAAACTAACCACCTCAGTTTCAGATTTTCAACATGAAGGAAAGAGGAGAAGAAATAGATAAAACTGAGGTTTAGCAGTGTAACAATACACCAAAACCTGGCAGTAAAGTACTGAAAATACTCCAGCCAACCAAGCCACCTCACGTACTCAGCATGTTATGCTCCTGTATTATCTACTTCTGCTACACCAACAGAACTTCTGTTTACTACAGAACTAGAGGCTTTGGAAAAAAGAAACCAACACATCTCCCAGAGCACAAGATATGTATGAATAATAATTATAAGTGTATAGTATTTTAGTATTATATTAAAGTAATAAAAGTGTGATCACATTTATTAAAATAATGCAGATTTTTTTGTAATACACATGAGCTTAATGACACTACATTCAGGTTCCATCGTATCATTTGTGTCACAATCTATGAGAATTTAATTTTTTCTGACCCCATGTATCAAAATTTACTTTGAAATAAATGGACAGCATGGACTCATGCTCACCTATTGATTTGGTGACAAAGGACAAGAAAAGGCTGATCACAAGCAGTTATTTGTTTTATATTCTCAAGATATCTTCACAGCTTTATGGAAGCCAAACTGTCCTAGATTCTGATTCTTTATTTTTAAAATACCAACCTATTACCATAAATTCCACTTAAAATATTCAAGTTGATATTTACATGAAATCTACAGTACTGTGGTCTTGACTGCTGCCAGATTTCAATAAGCAGGTGTTAAAATAAAATTCTCTATAGTAAAAGTATCCAAAGAAAAAAGAAAGCCAACTGCTGCTGTAACAGATTTCTTGTTCATGAGCAAAAGATAGTGGAGAGTGTGTCTGTAGTGAAACAAACACCCACATGGATACAACCCCCAAGATAAATGTAAAGAGTATATATCTAAGTTTATCTTAAGCTGTGAGATAAAGGGTATATCACAAGTGAAATCTCAGATTTTACATATTTTGCCTATTTCAAAATAACAGTTATTTCAACTCTCAAAAGACATACTTTTGTCTGAATTCTAGATAGTTCTAACAATAAGTATAAACTTACTACAAAAATCAATACACTTCCTCACTGGAATACAATCTCACATATCAATCTTCTTGAAGATTTATGGGAGTTCCCTTTAAAGTTGTTACATACACCTGAATTACACAAATAAGGACTTGGAAGAAAAACAATAAACAGCATAGCCTTGTAGACTTGGTGGAAAACTAGTAACACAGCTGGGAGCCAGAGATGGCAAGAAAAGTCTTAGTTCACTAAATAATCAGGACAAAGGAGAAGACAGAAAAAAATACTACTTGATTATAAATTAGCTGGTTCTTATTATACATCACAATGGAGATAACAGCCCATTATAGGTATTAATTCTTTCATACAGTTTTCTAAAGGTTACCATGACACACTCTTTTAAGACAGTAAAAAATCCAGAAACATTTAGAAATATTTTTCAAGTTCTCTTTTAAAACTATTTATTAAACTCCCAGTTAGAATATTTCTAATAAATGTCTCAGATTATCCCTACTCCCCACAGTGTACAATCCATAACAGTACAGAACTGCAATCATAGAGCACACTTAAAGTATTTGTAATAATGTTCCTACTTACGTTTCTGTGTCTGAAACTAATGACTCATTATTACACACATCATTGAAGGTATGAAGTTGGTTCTATAGTCAGAAAAAGGAAGAAAAAAATTAAAATTTTATCTGAAAATTCTGTGAGGTAGTTTTATTTTAAAACAGTATTAGTGACAATAAACAATTTTTTCTAGTACTTTCAATGTTTTTAAGTAAACCTTTTTGACAAAAATTTGAACAGGCATTCTAGTAGGCAAGAGGGGTCAATTTTCTTTTTCAATCAACCCTTCTTTCACTAAAATAACTAAATCATGTTACAAAACCCCACCTACTCCAGAAATCAAAACAAGGTGTGTAGCAGTCACTTTACAATTAGGTTTTCATAACAAATGAAACACATCCTCTGCAAATTGATGGTTTAGGATGAGCTTCCCCCTTATTGTAACATTTACCACAGCAGCAAAGATTTCTTCTGTCACATTATCAGTATTGAAAGTCAAAAAGAGTCAAAATTACATATTTTTACATTAAATGAAGCTTTCAAAGGTATCCAAACTGATAAATCCAAGAAGATCCCAGAGAAAAAAAAGCCTATTGAAGTTTTACATCTGTCTTCCACCCTTTTCCTCAGGATCAGCTTTCCAGACACAAAGCCCTGTCTATGGCTCTGTATCCAACTCTTTATATGTACATACTTAAAGAATTTAAAATTATAAAATAATAATATAA